AGATATGATTGTATTTTATATTGTATATTATATTATATTTTATATCAATTATATATTTTATATCGATTATATTATTAATGGAAATTAATTATTCATTAATCACATATTATATAAATTTAATGAAGCTTCGGTACCTGAATGTACACCTTTTCTGTTGTTCTTTCAGGGCAGTGATAAAATACTCACTCGCGAAAAAACTATTTAATTATGTTCGGACATGTACTAATCAACAATCAATCAGAATATGACAATCGCACGATGCTTTGAATGACACTCTCGACAAACATGAGACTGATACTTTATTCTATAATAACTTTATTGTAGTAAAAAAAAGTTGCACGAGATACTTAGTTAGTGAGAAATCAAATATTAATTATTTATAACAATGTCTCATAATAATCATTTATAATAACCGTAAGAAATGATGGAAAGAATGCGATATATGCGAAGCGACTTTTGCCGCATCTCCTCCAAATTGTATCGTGCGAATGACAACAAAAATGTTCCCGTATAAACATTGTGTTACAAAGAACGAAGGCCAAACGGTGTGTGAAGGCCGAACAGTTAATTTATTCGTTATCGATGAATATTTAATATAAAATAAAGAGTATCGACAAGTGCCCATAAGCTTGTTGCCCAAACTTTTCTCAGCTAAAGATTGAACTTTATTCTTGGCTTAAAGTTTATGATACTTCGGAGAAAATAATTGAGAAAATAAGTATTTTTTTAAAAGGATAAAAATTAAAATTAAACGATAATTTAGTCCATCTAGAGATTTGCATATCCATAATCTATGTGTCATAAACTTTATTTTAAAAATAAGCTGTCTCGAGTTGGCAAAATTTGGCACAACAATTGTTATGTTAAATATTATGTTAAATATTTTATTCTTTGAATTTCTAGAATTATTAATAAACGATATTGATGACGACATTTCAATACTTATAAATTATTTGATTTCACGATTCACATTTCATCTATGCGGATCGTTTTCATTCAAAAATGTTCAATAAACTTGATTTAAATCGATGATAAATTTAAATCGCGAGATATAATCGAATTCAAGTATCGTTAAAAAAATTACCAGCTATAAAGATCGCACAAGGAGAAGATAATTTATAATTCCTATTATTTATCTCTTAAAATCTTGTTGAAATATATATTTTTATATAAAATCACGCACTTCGTTCTTCGCGTTTTATTCAAGTCGAAGTAACCGTGAGGAATGATCGAAAAATAATGCGACATCGGAGCGGCTCTGTTTCCCCCCCACTCGAGTCTCATCGCGCGAAGGATACAAAGGCAACCGTGTAAACATGTCATTGCCCTACGTCACAAGGAATGAAGGCCACGTAATAGTAATTCGTCGTCGACGAAATATTTCATAAAATAAATAACATAAAATAAATTTTGTTAAATATTCTATTTCTTGAAATTCTCAAATTAATTATTAATATTAAAACATTATTAATGTATCGCGATATTTCATTACTTGTGAATTATTTGATAGTTGATTCTGCGCTTCATATTTTATCTGCGAGAATCATTTTCAATCTGAAAATGTTTGAGAACTGCATTTAAATCAACGACAAATTTAAAATATAAAATATAATAGAATTCAAGTGTCGTTATAGAAACAATTATTGGCTATCTCAGAGGAAAATTGCAAGAAAAAGTTAATTTATAATTTTTATCATGTATCTTTCAAAATACTTTTTTTTCTATTGACGCGATGCCACCGGAACGAAGTGGCATTTCCCTGATTAATGTTGACTTATATATGAAGCAATCGCTTTTTCAATCTCTTGAACTCATAAGTATACATTTCGATATTATTATTTATATATATATATATATATTTATACATATAAATATTTAACGAATTAATCGAACGAATGCATTCCGATTCATCTTTTCGTTTGTCATATATAAATATTTAATTCACTATTCGAATGATTGCATTCCGATTCGCTTTTTTATTCGATATATATAAATATTTAATTAATTGATCGAACGATTGCATTCCGATTCATCTTTTCGTTCGGTATATATAAGTATTTAATCAATTAATCGAACGATTACATTCGGCTTGCCATTTTACTCGCCGCGTTACAGTGAATATCGCGCGAGAGAGGCAGGCAACATGCACGGCGTCGTGCACGATTTCGACCGTCCGCACGCAGACGAAAAACGGCCAATTTATATCTCGACTTCCGGACGCGATAGCGACTTCGTTCTTTTTGCATAAAATTCTACACCATTTCGCGGCACTACCATTTAAATCTCGTCCCGATCGCCCGAGGAACGGCTGACTTACAGTGAATATCCGAAATCTGCTTTTTGGACTCACACTTAAGTACAATATTTATATATATCGAATAAAAAAGCGAGTCGGAACGCAATCAGTCGAATAGTAAATTAAATATTTATATATACCAAAAGAAAAGATGAATCGGAATGCATTCGTTCGATTAATTCGTTATATATATATATATATATATATATATATATATATATACATATATATATATATATATATAAATATTAAAAAATATTTGATAAAATATTAAAGCGATCTGTGTAAAAATATTGATTAATACCAAAAGATTTTATTGTAGATATATTAAATATTTAAAATTGAAATTTGAAATGTTTTATATATACGTTATACTATGCGATAATTTAAAATATGAATCACAGACGAAATGAAAAAAGAATGAGCAGTTCATTTTGAAATTAATATAAATACATATGACAAATAATTTATATAAATTACTTATTGCATATGTGTATCATATGCTCCATTGGATGCCTGATGTTTTTCCAGAGTTCCTTTTCCTTTTTTTGTTCTTTCATTGTTCGTGGTCATTCTTTCCTCTCGTGGCACTTACTCACCTACAAAACACGATTTAATTATGCTCGATTAATCGAATAAACTTTACATGAGACTCTCGATTGCGAAATAATCATATGAAATACGCACTTTATATTATCGTAAAAAAGCAACTCGCCATTTACACGAGACCAAAATCATGCGTTACTTGCTACAATACAACATATTATTATTATTGATATAGTATACGCTATATAATATATGAATCATAAGATCAAAAGATTAAGTTAATGAATGAAATTGTTATATAGCAATCATTTAATTAATAATTAATTTATATTCATATTTTGAAGAAAAATTTAAAGTATATTTGACTTTAAATTAAATAAATATTATTGTTATATATATATATATATATATATATATATATATATATAATTATTATTCATAAGAATCGATAATCGAAGAATCATGAAGTTTGTTTTTATTCCTTTTATTTCAATTTTTGTAATAACGAATGATTATTATTCTTTTATAAAGATTTTTTTTGTCGATACCATTTCATGTCGTTTATCAAAAATTAATTAATTATTAATTAATAATAATGGTTAATTATGTTTAAATATTAGTTGCAATCGCGTTTAGGAAAAGAATCTAACAATTATAACAAAATGTTTCGTACTATTACTTCATTGCTCGAATGTCGCCATGGGAATAATAACACTTAAGAAAAATAATCAATATATTGAAACAGCTTTACCAGTTATTCATACAAAAATTCAATTGACAAGGGCAATGTTGTGCTACATAAACAACATGCTCTTCTCTAACGCTTGTTTATACTAAGGTCATACATACCATGTTATTAAAAATTCATTGGCGAAATATTTTACTTACTGTAATGTATATGTATATACATCCCAAATATTAAATTGTAAAAGCATTTTAAGTTATAAATTAATTATTTATTAAATCGCGGAGAACTTTTCGTTATGCTAATTATTCGAATGTTTTAACTCCATGTTTTAATAATGAAAAAGTAGATTATTTCGTTACGATCTATACGAACAATAATTACTTCTTTAATAATACATGCAGTCAAATATATCTCGTCCGTGATAAAATATAATTTGTTATTTTAGATTTCTATACGATTTTTATTTGAAAGAGAGAGAGAGAGAGAGAGAGAGAGAAAGAGAGAGAGAGAGAAGATAGATTATAATATTATATCTTTAACATTAAATGATAAATTATACTTTATTTAATATATTATTTATGTAAATAAATATTATAAACAATTTATAATTATTGTATAATTAATTACTAAGAATTATATAATTTTGCTGTTTTATCGTTTTTCGATAAAAAACAAGTAAAATGTTTTATTTAAAAATAAGATTATTTTATATGTATTTGCATGACTTTATCGAGACATATTTAACATTCGTGTTTCCTTTCTATACATATAAAAAATCTTAAAATCATCAGTTTTTGTAAAGTCATATTGTAGATATCTTTTAAATTTTTAAATGTCTTTTTAAAGGTGTCAAGCATTAAAATAATTTTTTTTTTAATTTTTCAACAGTTATGATGCGCAAATATTTAGAAATAAAGAATATAGAAATAAAAAATGTTTTTTGCATTGTTTTTTTAAATTAAATTTGAAGAAAATAACAAAATTGCTCGTATATAATTACATAAAATTATATAATTGTACGTGAAGAGAAAGAGAGAAAGAGAGAGAGAGAGAGTAATGTATAATCTATTTAATAATATCAAAGAAGCCAATATAGAGTCGTATCATTCTATATAATGTATACCTAAATTCCATACATAATTATATATATTTAAGTATATTTATATATAATTGTATTAATTATATATAATTGTATTAATTTATATATATTCTTTCTCTTTTCAGATTATATTACACAGTAACAGAAACTAAATGGCGTGCATATAGCATGCGCTTTATAATGTTTTAGTTTTAATAAAGTAATCGTTACCACATATATCAATTTCCGCAAAATAACGAAACAAAAGCTATACGCTGCATGTGACGGATAAACTGAGATAAACAAATTTATTTGACAGCGTATTAATTAAAGCTTTTTCAGTCGTTGAAACGTCCAATTTAGCATATACGGCAAGAAAAGCTTTATAAACGATGAATAAAAGCAAGCAAGATAAAGAAACCGATATGGTACGCATATAATATTAAATAATTTAAATTTTAAAAAGGCGAGATATATAAAAAGATATCATTTAAAAAATATTACGTATCAGATTGCGAATTATCTTTCAATATTCTTTAGAATGAAGAAGATAAGAAATTACAGGAAGAGCTACTGCAAGCGGTCGATGTATTAAAAGTAAATAAATTTTGACAATCCTGTCCATGCAACGAAAGACAATAAGTCATTAAAATGAAATTAAAATTTATTAAATTTTGTGATAATTAAAAATATTACCTTTTCTTCCCTGGAAGAAAATTTTAAACTTGTATACTTTTCCCGTATCATTGCCTCGTCAGAGTAAAGATGAGACAGCTATATTGCTATCATTGAATCATCTAAGAATGCTGATACGTACATCCACGACTTCGATGACTTCTGTTCCGAAACCTCTTAAGTATTTAAGAAAATATTATCCCAGCTTGAAGAACGCATACGAAAGCCTCAAACAAAAGGAAGTAAAAATACGTTTTGCGGAAATTCTGAGTGTGCTCGCTCTAGCCGGAGCCACTCCAACATTCAGAGATTGCTTGAATTTCTGTATCACAGGAGCGGTGAACAATCCCGGTGAATGGGGTCATGAATATGTGAGGCAACTCGAAACAGAAATTGTTGACGAATGGACAAATGCGCCGATCAAAGAGGAGCATGAAATCAGGTAAAATACATGTATTGTATACATTTAGCAAGATAACAATAAAGATCACTTTTATAGCAATTTATTAAAAATATTTAGCATATTATTATATTATTTAACATATCAATTTCAACATATTCCTAAAAAAAATTCTTCTATATATAAAGCCATGTGCTTACATTAGAAATGAAAAAATGAAGAATAATGTAAAGCTTATTATTCTCGTAATAGAAAACGTCTTACACCATTGATTAAAAGCATCGTTTCATTCGATGTAAAACACAACGCGGAGATACAAGCATGCGATCTATGCTTGGAAATAGATGAGTTAAATTTCCTCGCAGAATATTTGGATTCCACGAATTTTGCACGAGTGTGTCATTATTTGATTAGCTGCGCAGCTTACAGGTAACTATAGCTGTAATAAACGCGATACAAAATATTAATATAAAATATTACTCTATAAAATTTAAAGCATACTTATTTTATTATTTAATTCAAAACTTTGTAATTTGTTAGATAAATCAACTTTTGATATTGAATACAGTTTAAAATATAAATTTATTTATATAAAAGAAATTTAATTAATTAATTAAATTTAATTAAGAATTCAACAATGTATAAATTTAGTTGTATAAATAAAGTACGAGAGAATTAGAAAAGTTTAACGACAATTTATCGAACAAGCGGCAGATCATTCAACTTATGTACGTAGCTAGATTAGTTTTTGCACACATGAACAATATTTATATATCCTTTAGCGAGGACACAGAGAGAAGACAAATATTAGAATTCGCCACGGAGCAATATCTGAAGTTCAACGAGTTTACAAAGGCAATTTTGATAGCGCTGCAACTTACGAATTCAGAACTCATTTTCAAGTGCTTTAATGCTTGTCCTGACTCTTTAATGAGGAATCAACTAGCCTTCATTCTCGCCCGACTGCAAGTAATTTTCTGCTTAATATATATTCACATTTAACCATTTTATCAACATAGAATAAATGTAAATCGAAAGTGATAACGTCATCGACATTTCTCTAATTTCAAATATAAATAGACTGAAATATATAATTAAAAATGTTTTGTTAAGGATACATGAATTAAAAAAAACAAATCGAATAAAATTTAATTCTGTAAATTTGAATATCTAATCATCAAAATTATATGCAATTTATGAGAGTCTTTATCTTCTTTTTCTTATTACTTATTAATGTTAAAAGTATATTTTTTAATCTTTCTTTGTTAATTAATATGAATAAATTAAAATATATATGAAAAGAAGTAATTAATTATATAAAATTAAACTTTTCGTTTTTAAAAATTAGAAGAAACTTCCAACTTTTCATAAAAATCATAAAATAAACTATATTCATTCATGAAATAAATTACAATTTCAATAAAACGTTTCGAGTCAATGAGAAAATTATATAGCAAAAGTTAATAAATTTTACACACTTTTAATACTTTTATAATTTTAATATTTTAAATAGGATCAACCTTTGAGAATAGAGTATCAAGGAAACGATGCCAAAGACATAGAAGCGATTTTCAGTAATGGCCACGTAAATACCCACTTCCAAATTCTTACCAGAGAACTTGACATACTCGAGCCGAAACTTCCGGAGGATATTTACAAAAGTTGGTTAGTGAGCGGATCCAGGCAAATGGAACACGATTCTGCGAGGGCAAATTTAGCGGCGAGTTTTGTTACTGGTTTCGTACACGCAGGTTTCGGCCAAGATAAATTGATGTCGAACACATCTGATTGTTGGGTGTACAAAAACAAGGTTTTTTGTTTCTTCAGTAATTCCTGAGAAATTCTATTTAGCATTACTTAACTCTCAAAAGTTTATTAAACATATAAACAATAATTATATAACTTATTAAAAATTGATTAACTTATTATTATTAATTATATAACATTTTTTATGTTGCAATGAAAGACATTATATATAAATGATCATTTTTTTCATTACTTTATACATGAATTTAAAAAACTGGAATGTTATAAATGTATTTCTGGTTTGGTTGAGCAAGATTATTTATCAGTCAACAAAACCGGCTTCGAAAATAATGTAAATTATGATTATACATATATGCTAACATACATAACTTCCTGTCATTCTCTTTTTAGGAGCACGGAAAATTGTCAGCTACTGCTTCTCTGGGCCTGATACATATGTGGGACGTCGACGGCGGATTAGTTCCTATCGACAAGTCAGTAGAAATTTTAACAATAAATAGGAAAAGAAAAATCACATACATTTAAAGAATTTAATACTAATGTTTTAATACGTTTAAAGAAGAAATTAATTATTGATAGATTAATTGTAGAGAAGGATTTATATCTCATAAAGAAATGCATTTTTTCAATATTGTTAATTTTTAATGTGATTTTCCAATAGATATCTTTATACGAACGAAGATTACATAAAATCTGGTGCCTTGCTAGCCATCGGATTGGTAAATTGTGGAATTCATAACGAATGCGATCCAGCTCTGGCACTTCTTAGCGAGTATGTGAGCTCAAGTAGCCAGATTCTTCGCATCGGAGCTATCTTGGGATTAGGTTTGGCTTATGCTGGATCCAGAAGAAAAGACGTTACCGAACTACTTTCTGGAGCTTTAGTCGATGAGCAAAGTAAAATAAATATAATATTATATATAAATTGCTTTAATTTTATTAATATATAAAACGCTTTAATTAATTTAATTTTATTAATTAAGAATTATTTCAATTAATCAGAAAACAAACAAGATGAACAATTTGTTCCTTCGATGAATATGCACGTAAAATTGTAGGAAAATCGTCTATTAAAAAAATTGAAAATAATTTTAATTAACTTGTAGGTTTTTTTAATTGTATAGTTTTTTATGATATATTTTTACAGGATATGTATACTATATATCTTGAAATGCAATTCTTAAATCAAAAAAAAGAAATTTAATTACGCTACAGCGTTCTATATTTTTTCAGATAATATGCAAATATTATCATTAGCTGCCATCTCCTTAGGCCTCGTAAATGTAGGTTCAGGGGATTCCGATGTGTCTTCGACTATTCTGTTAAAATTATTGGGGCTATCTATGGAGAAACTTGTTATTTCGCATTCCAGGTCCTTATAAATATATTATATTATAGATTAATGTAGAATTTTTTTTGTTAATATTAATTAATATATTATATTTATATTTAATTTATATTTAATGGAAATACACATAATACATAGAAATTATTTTCACATGTAGATTTTTGGCATTAGCTCTGGGAATGGTTTATATGGGAACTCGAGATGCTATAGAAACACCATCCGCAGCACTTGAAGCTTTACCAAAGCCGTACAATTTTGCCTCGCAAACTATGCTACAAGTAAAATTACTTGCTACGCAATTTTGTCAAAAGATTCTGCTAATATTTTATACCTAAAATTCAAATTTAATGAAAATACTTCTTTAGATTTGCGCTTATGCGGGTACCGGCGATGTTTTGATAGTGCAAGAATTATTAAGGATCTGTTCAGAAGTAACTGAGGAAGTAACGAAGGTGAAAACAACATCTGAAAATGCTTCGATACTAAGTTGTTGCAATCAAAGAAATCCACAAGGCAGCTCTACTACGTTAGAAAAGAATAAAAAGACTGACAATCAAACCGAGGATTCTATTAAGTAAATATTTTCCTCAAAGTTTTAATAAAAATATATTATAAATATGAAATATATTATAAATATAAAAATATCTTAAAAATATAATATAATAACAATATAATAAGAATATATTATAAATATGAAATAAACAGAAATACAATATAAAAATTGCAATCTAGAATATATAAATAGAAGTAAAGTAGTTAATATAATTTCATCCTTAGATAAATACATTTTGAAAAGAAAATAAATTATATTATAAGATGTATTTCTCTTTGCACATTTAGGATTAACTAATATTATTAGCCTTAGAGACATTGAAGCACCGCAAGCTATAGCATCCCTTGGGGTAGGAGTAGTTGGGCTTGGAGAAGGAAGAGAAAACTCGAGGATTTTTGGTCAGGTGAGAAATTAAGTCTTCGTAAATCTTCAATGAATTTTAATGTAATGTAATGTAATATTTGGGTTCTATATATACCTAGAAATAGAACGGGACAAAGACACAGTTAAACCAATTTATCTTTAATTAATATTTATGTTTTCCTATAGTTCATTCATAATGCTGCGATTTAATAGAGCCTCCGTCTCTTTTCTCAAAGCAGACCTGCGAAGAGACGGAGAATCGTGCTTAAAGTATATTTGATTTTAATTGATATTTATTATGGGAACGTGGCCCATATGGTTCTCGCGATCATAAATCTTCACTATAATTATATTAATTAAATAGATTGGAAGATACGGTCCCACGCCAGCACGACGAGCTATGCCACTTGCTTTGGCTCTATCCTCTCTATCTAATGCCGACCTGGCAGTCCTGGACGTATTAAATAAGTACAGCCACGATCACGATGCCGACGTCGCTCTCAATGCGATTTTCGCCCTCGGTCTAGTAGGCGCTGGTACGAATAATGCTCGATTAGCAACGATGTTAAGACAGCTGGCGGCTTATCACGCGAAAAATCCGTCTCACTTGTTCCTCGTACGCATCTCTCAGGGCCTGGTGCACTTGGGCAAGGTACAAATTTCGATAAAAAGATTAAAAGAATTCAAATAATGAAGCGAATTAATAATAAACAAATGAAGTTTAAATAGTAACTGCTTTTTCTGACAAATTTAACTCTTTTATTTTTAATATAAATATTCTCGATTGTATCTTTAAACATGTTATTTTTCCATCTAGGGTACTTTAACTTTGTCGCCCTTGAGGTATGCTTCAAAAGTTCTAGATTATACCGCCTTGGCTGGGCTGATGGTCGTCTTAGTTGCATGTTTAGATTGTAGGAATCTTATACTATCGCAGTCTCATTATTTGATGTATTGCTTGGCAATCGCGATGGAGCCAAGATGGCTGGTTACCGTCGACGAAAATCTCAAGGTAAAGATACAAGAGCTCGCCAATATTTTAATTACTCAATTAATATAAAAAGAAATAAATGTCCTAAAAAATAGAAAGGTTTATATTCTAGATTTTTGTGCTTTTTTCGATTTAGAATTTGCCGGTATCGGTGAGAATTGGTCAAAGTGTGGATGTTATTGGAAAAGCGGGTAATCCGAAATCCATTGTCGGCGGTCATGTACAAACCACTCCAGTGTTGCTGTGTGCGGGTGAAAAAGCAGAATTAGTGTCAGATCAATATGAATCACTTTCTAGTGTGCTGGAGGGTTTCGTGATTCTTCGCGAGAAAGTATAATTCAGTATGTTAATCTTGCACTCAATATGTCGTTTTTATCCATACGCAATTTAAATTTTTTATAACAGGTTACGATAGATTAAAAAGATTTAGCATTCTGCGGTGGCTGTTTTGGATTGTCTCTCGATTTGACGCATTTCTTCCGCAAGAACTACCATTTATTATAATAAACTCGCATATTAAAAAATTTCTTTGCTAAATAGATCTATATATAAAACAAAGGGAACAAACATTAGGGAAAATATCATATAAACTTCGTTGCAGGATATTTGTTGATCAATAATCAACGAAATGACAATAGCAATACTTAGATTTTTTCATATATGTTTGCATTTATTTAACTTTAGGGACTAGCGGAAGCAATGTGCTCTATACAACAGAAACATACATTGGTTCGCATTGCACAGTGGGAATAATAACGCTGCACCATGATCAAGAATATCGAACACATGAAAAACTCAACAAAACCGGACGCAAGGAACATTATAATGAAAATAAAATAAAAGACAATCACGTGAATGTATTATGCCAGTAAAATACATTTACAAAAAAAAAGAAAATTGCAATAATGTAAATTTTAAATAACAGAAATAACGAAATACTTGATTGTACGTTTGCGATCATGGAGCACGTTGGACTTTCTTTGTGATGAAGCGGTTACCCAAGCAACACAATGGTTCGAGAGACGTCTAAAATATTGTCACCAAGTGAAAAATCGGAACATATTGCCGGACGGCTAATCGGGATCGTGTTGCCTTGGTAGGAATTGTAAGTGTTACACAAATGTACAGCGTGTTTAGAACGCTTGTAAGACTAACGATTCCTTTCTCACGTGAAATGTCTCATGACATTTGCTTTAGTAGGCACATGATGTAGGGTAAGGGGACGAAGTGTGTGTATGTATATTAAAACGCAGTTAATTCGATAAAATATCGCATGCGCGTCGACAATATAATAGTTCAGTGACTTCGTTTAAACGAATGTGTATCAACTTTATCGGACGCATGCGTATCTAAAATACGTAGTAAACATATGTAGGATAATTATACATGGTTGGCGTAATAGTCGATACGTCGTATTTTTAACTATATAAAAATTCAACTTTCGCTTTGAATAAATCAGTTTTCTATTTAATAAACACGCATACGTCCGATATATTCAGCTTGCTGCACGCGATCTATTTCTTCGAAATTTTTTTAATTGCAGGACCTAATTTAAAGGTGGAGGATGTGCTTGTGCCATTATATTTACAAAATTAATATTTACCAGTAGTAATATTATTTGAATATTAATAAATATCTGAATAATATTAATAAATATCTCAGTTTATATTTTAAAAGTAGAATAACTTTTAAAATAGAATAAATTCGAGATATTACAAGAATTACTTATGCTTCACACAAAATGCATTTCTTTTCTTTTTAAATATTTATTTAAAATATTAAACATTTTTGTGAATTTATTTTTATCACATAAACATTGTATATAAAATAATTACTTTATAATTGTTAAAAATCACTTACAATTTTAATATTTTTTTATAAATAAATATAAATCGATGTAAACAACTTCAAAATTTGAAAGATGCTATAAATTTAAATATGATATATAGTAGTATGAAATAATATTGCTATATATATAGCTATATATATAGTAAAATGTAATAAAATGTATATTTTGAGTTAATGACAAGTCAATGGTTCGATTGTTAGATCCACCACAACTATAAATTTGGTCCTGATTTTCATATGTATACTCTAATGTAGAGTGATCGAGTGATCATAGAAGTCTATCGCAATCTGCACCGCAGAGTATTTACTTTAGCTACTACATTCAAGGATAATTAAAAACATTGATATATCTCCTCACACAAAAAATACCGCAAGCGATTCTATAAAGTAATCCTTGCCACAAAGTAAATTAAAACGAGATAATTCACACACAAATTATTTGATTAATCAGCGTACTCGTACCATTCAGCAAGCTGGGCTCATCTCCTCTACTTATACTTTTAACTTTTCACGTTGTACATAATAAAATATAAGAATAATAATAATATTAATAGTATAGTTAAAAATTAATAATAATAAATCCTACCATTGTAGCGTCCCTTGCATTATAATCTCCGCAAGATTAATATATATATATATATGTATGCGATTTAGCGAATATGCAATTACTATGTAACTTCTCTAGCTGCTTTTTCACGCCGCTTTTCGATTTTTCGATTAACTTCTTATTTACAATAGCAAATTGTATTAAGAGTTTTAATCGCAATCTCACATTTGATTATCTTCTCGTCTATATTTTAATATCAGCCGTTATTGCGTACTCGCCTTAAATGTGTATATAAGTGAAACCAAGTTACGATAGAATTCCAAATGGTAAAATTCGAGAAAGGCTATGTCGCTGAACAAATTGGGTCATAGATAAAGCTGCTTGGATTCGTTGCTGCGAGAAAAAGTTGACAATAAGTGGCAGTGATTCCGTGTCATTATATATGTGTATATGTGTGTGTATAGAGATATATCTGCTCCTGCCTAAAGAACTTCCATTTTGCAAACATACGCCGGCCGGCAGATTGCTCGCAAGGATCGTCGAACACATTTTTTTTCTCCGCGATACATCTACCCACGCAGTAGGAATGTACAGTCTATACCACAGTATAACACAATCGTGACACAATGCGGATATAATAAGTAAAATGTGTAAAATGAATTAAAACAGTCGAACACGTCTTTTGATTTCGTTGCGACGCCACTGTGGCAATCTGTAGAATTCCGCTCGAGAACACTGAAGAATGACCTCGAATTCTGCATCGGAGAGATGTCGCTAAATGAGAAAAAAAGCTTTGGATTATTTCTGTTATAATGTTAATTGTAATTAGTTAATACATATGTATTAATATATTATTATAATTGTAATTCTATATTTATAACTATAATTTCAATAAATATAATGATAAAGATAATAATAAATATAATGATAAGGAATAATATTGTTAATAATGTCCGATAATTTTTTTTAATGATTTATAATTAACTGATTAAATAACGACAACGATATCACTTACCTCGAGATTGCAACGATCCACATCAGCTGGCAACCTGTAGTTGGTAATAACAAGTAAGTGATAGGGATAAAGCTTGGGTGGTTCGGTTGGCGCAGCACCCATATCCGGCAGTGATCTTCTCACATGATGACCTCCGTGGCCTCCAACAACCGAACCTAGGCCACCTGTATACGTGGTGGATGATGGGATGATCCCACCATCATTCTAAACCACGATTACATAAATTACAAAATTATAAATTTCACGATAAAGATAAATCGGAAGATAAAAATAAGACATTAACACATGGACGAAACAAGAAGAATATATAGGAGTTACATTTGCGCATTCTTTCTTTCAGTTTTCACGAAAGGAAAACTAATTTGAACGAAACAGAATAAATTGTAAAATACAACAAATTGCATATAAAATAGAAGATTTAATTGAATAAATTGATTTTATATCGAATATAAATTTTATAACAAAAATAAAGAAAGATGAAGTTTTGCAATATTCAGATTACAAAAGACAATTTCTGTTGGCTCTCCTAAAAATATTCTTGTCAACGTCCATGAAACAGTAAACACATTATTTTCACACTAAAAAACGCATGATGAATTGATATAATTAATGAAATGATTGTTTTATATGCACGAACGAATGGTCAAATTTATATGACTCAATAAGCTGTCTCAGTATTATTAGACAATGACTCTACTAATTTCCTGAGTAATTAATTTCTAACTGAGACTTGCGCGTAATTAAAGTTTCAAACGTTTTAAATTCTTAGATAATTTAATTTCTTTGATAATAATAATTCATTTATCTAAAGATAAATCGAAGCAATATTTCCATGCATGCATTTTTATCTGTTTTTAAAAAATTTACAAAATTTTTGTTATTTAATATAATTATGATTAATTATATAATTTTTCATTATTTTTGCTAATAATGTATATACCATACATGCATTTTTTACAATTACAAAATTTTGTGTACCCAACGAATATATTTTAACATGTGAATGATTTATTGAACAGATACTATTGATAAACGACACTTATATAATATTGAATAATCCACTTTTTGATAAAATTATATCGTTTTAAATGTTAATAATGTAACATCAAATCTTTGACATTAAAAATACATGAAAATTTAATTTTTTTTGTTACCAGAATTACTAAATGGATTATCCAAGAATAATAAAATTTTTAATAATTCTCAAAATTAGGTGTTTTTGGATGCAAAATACATTATGTAATATTAAGATTCAAAAAAGAAGAAAAACATATTTTGATCAATGGGGCTAAATAGCATGAAATAGATAAAATTAATTCGATTAATTAACTAACTTAACTTAAAAAATGTAAAAAGCTTCTGATAAATCAAATATGCAACATTGAGTAAATTGAGAATAGGTACAAACAATCGAAAATGCGAAACTCAAAATTGTAGCAAAATATACAGCATACATGCATATTCATTATACATATGATTATATGTACAATATATTACATTGTAATATAAACAAGTAGCAAATTATATATATAATCACATATATGTATAAATAATCGGGAAAATTTTATTCATCGCATAAATTTCGAATGTACAAACTATATTGCCTTGTTTCTCAGATAAATGTGTGCACTTAATGCAACACATCTGCAATTATGTAGAAACGTGCTTAGAATGTTTTAAATAAAATTACATTTTCATAAACTCCTTTTATTAGAATAATCAAATTGAATATCAATCAAAGAAATATTCGATAGCTTCTTTTTGCCTTTAAAAGTGAGAAATTATTTATTTTTCAAAAGAAAATACGGAATACGAGAATCTTACATCTATCAAATATTTATTTACTATTTGTTTATTTAATAAGGAATTAATAATATAAATAATTTTCTAAATTTTATATTTATAAAAAGTTTTATAATCAGCATCAAAAAAACCTTGAAATTAATGTAGAAAGAGACGTAATTAAATTGCAATATGATACTTAAATTGTTCTAATAAACGGAATTATGTTGTCATACAGGTGCGAGAACAAACTACAAACCATGCTAATTCGCCGGGAGTAGTATGGGGCTGTAGTACATACCAGTGCCCGTCGATCCACGTCCGTGATGCTGCCTGTTGATACTAAAATTGGGGAAAATTTGAAAGAAAACCATATCAAACCATATTGCACAAACCACTTCCTACGTTAACTACAATTTGTTTTTCAATAATGTTCATCAATAATGTTCCCCTTTCATTACCTGCCTGTAGATTTCACAACTTATGCCTGAAAAAATGCGCAAAATAGCACAAACAATTATTTAATTAAAAATAGACAAAGTAACGTGGGAACATGATTGCTTTATAATAATTCAATGATAAATTTGCTATAAAATTTCAGATTTATAAGTGAATCGTTTAAGTTTTTTTTAAAGAATGATCAAAAAACTAAATATTTTAACAAAATCGCATTATATGTGTAATTTTTCAAAAGTTGAAATATATAATTTAGCTTATCATCTTTTCACAAATTTAGCATGATTATTTGCCTGAGAAAGAAGACTGTCGTAAATAATCGGCGCGTAATTAATAATCAAATATCATTTTCACAGATGTTTTAAGTAGACAAAATCGTATATGAGACGACGTACAAGCCAATGGACAATGTACAACGTTTCACAGGAGCAATGCGATAGCTCGCAGAAATATTAGTGAAGCATGCAGGAACAAGGCGAAACGAAATATGTAAAAAAAATCATAGCAGGGACACGCTTGCAAAAATCACTAGCTGTTTTCTTAAAATATTAACTCATATGTTAAATGAATATAAGATCTCTCAAGAATCATAGCAGTGTCTCTGAAAAACATAAATATTTTAAAAATATACCTTCATTAAAAACAATCGGAAAAATAACTTTTAAAATAAATTATAGATTTTTGATAAAATTTAGGGGACTTTAAATAAATTTTATTTGATTTATATTAAAAAGATATTCACCAAGATTCAATCCTAGAAATAAAGAGTAAATAACACAGTAAATAAAAACCTCAAATGAAATCGCTGTGATGAGAGGTGACTTCAAATTGAAAAATCTTATTTTAAAAACTCTTCAAAATATTTCAGATTGGCACTGAAAAAATTAGCGCATCGAAATAATTGTCTTTCTAGTAGGTCTGTCAAATGCGTGTAAAATTCGCAAGCGCGTCAAATTTAAGAAGCGTAGTGTAAACGAGTGAAAGGATCGCGTGTAATCAACGGGGACCGGCGTCGGTCGGTCCCTCTCGTTTTACTCACTGTCCGACTTGCCAGATGAGAAATCAGTGCTGTGAGTCTTGTCGCCCATCCCGCTGAACGAATAGTCGCCCTAGACGACAGAAAAGCGTTATCTTAGAAAAGCTCGGCCGCCGCGGATCGATTCTATCTACGTACTCTTTCTTCTATACATCATTATATGTAATTTGCACTATATCAGCGCGGCGGTGCACGTCGCATCGTCGACTGTGACTTGCGGTGCGAGACTTACAGGGAGAGCAGACACGGAACCGCCGGTCGAGGAGAAGGTGTGACTTCGCGGTGCCAGACCGTACCCCGGCTTCGGGATGTGCCGAAGAGAGCTCACAACTGGTTTACAAATCATTCAATCGACATAGATATTACTGATTAGTCTCAACGATGATCTCAATTCGCTCAATCCCATACGAATGCCCAACGTTCGCTTGCCAGATTTTTTTTTCAATACCGTTAAACTCTATCCGGAGCCATGTCGCTCTCTTGTATCACCAAAGTCAACCACTGTCAAGGGATTTCCCTCTGTCTCTTTGCGCCCCAATAATAATACATTTGATATTTTCTACTCTTTCCAACGTTTCTTTGCTAAGAATCCGGATCGATTTATATTAAAAAGCAGATATCCATTGACATATACATGCGACGTATTATGAATTATTTTTCATTTTGTTCCTATCTTTTATAATTGTCATGCAATTAATAAATGAAATAAAAGTAATCTTTAATAAATATAATCGTTAATAAAAATGACTGAAATAAAAGATACGAATAAATCGTATTACGTTAACTATATCTTATAGAATTTTACCGCATGTAAGTACAGATATCTGCGAAGTAACCATCTCGAATATATTATCACATCCCCATCGGCAAACGGCGCTTAAAGGAAACCGACAGTTTCGAGTGCATAAAGCAGTGATTCTCGTAAAATAGAGTGTGCGATTAAAAAAAAAGAAGAAAAAAAAAAAGAACAAGCCAGCACTTCTGTGTATAAATACAATAGATTCTTCTCATAAGCGCGCCCGTCGTATGATGACAAGTCAAAAATTTTTCTTTTTTACTAAAAACAGATATAGCATTTAAAAAAAATAAAATTATGATATATTTATATATTATGTTGTATATATTTCATAGTCTTACAACATGAGACGCATCTAAAATTATGAATTAGACTGCTTTTAAAAATGATCAGAAATCGATTTCAGATGATTGTCCTGTGAATGTTAGGAATGATAATAAATATATTCTTTCATCGCCAAATATATTTTACATGCCTACATTGCACGTGCAATTTACAATTTTCCTATATAATTGCATAAAATAATAAATAATCAGATAATATAATACATTAAAATTTAAAAAAAATGAATACACAAAAATAGAAACAAACTGAACACCTATAAATAATAAAAAACTAATTAATATTTGAAAGCGGATTTTTTATGGTTTGACTTGGGACCAACGGCGGGCGAATTGGAAAGTTTTCGGACTCACCGAGTGATAGTGCCTAGCGGCGTTTGGAAGAGTGAAGGCGCGCTGAGTACCAAGGGGTGGATAGTTTCTGGGAGCCGGGGAACGCGCCGATGACCTCCCAACTGCCGCCCACGCAAACACAACACAAACACAAAAACACAAAATAGAGACACGATGATAGTAGACGACAGGTAGTAGCGTCGTGACTAACATAGATTGTCGTATCCTATGAAATCTAGAACGCTAACTTGAAATTAGAGAGACTTTGTTACATTAATAGATATCCTTACAATAGTTAAAGATGAAGGAAAGATTAAATAAAAAATGTCTACTGCGTCGCAAGCATTATCAATAATATAATTATTAAAAGTTGCAATAATTAGCTAGTACAAATTATTAATATATGTATAACAACTTGATACCAAAATTATGATTACCTCTTCCAACATTATTCTGTTTTGTTTTTCTTGCGACTATATTATTTTTTTTTAGTATCGCACAAAATTAGATTTATTGTGATATATATTAGCGTTCTAAAGTTAGCTAATGAGCCAATATTGGAAGATATTATAAGCAAAATTCTATGTATTTGTGAAAATGCGAAAATGTGCAGGAAAGAAATAATCATGCATGTTGGCAACAATAAAACAAAAGATTAATTATGCCAAAATTATTTATCTTCCAATATTGTAGATGATATTTGTGCAGCTGGAAAATGTCTAAAAATTAAAATCATCTTTTTCTACAAGAAAACATTATATTATTATTATTATTAAAATTCTTTTTATCAATTTAATTTATTAAAGTAGATTTATTTAATATTTATAAGATAAATAAGAAATAGAGGTAATAAAATTGTTTCTATATTGCAAAGAAATATTCCAACTGTAAATAAAGTTGGAAGAAATTAGATTTCTATAATGTATTCATTTTAGTTCATTTTATTAATCTTGATATTGAATATTAACTTTGATTTAACTTAAGTCGAATAATTATTAAGATAATAATTCAAAATTTTACTGAAGCATACAGAAAAGAAAATTGATAGTTAATATTTCGTTTAGTTCGAGTTTTATCTAAAGGTACAGTCGTGCCACGAAAATGAGAATGATGTGCATAGAGGGCAATGTATGTTCGTGTATAATGAATTTCGTAGTCCCAAGTGCCATGCAAAATATAGGACAGAATCAATTACCTCGGGAAATGATTTCCACGGCTAAAGATTGCAATGGTAATTTAACTGTCCATATTTTGAAGATTGACGCGCCGCCTGACACAGCTCGACGAACGGAAAAAAATAAGGCAAGCACACTGAATTAAAGGATGCAACATGCATAGGCAGCATACATCACCTGTTAGATTAATTGGGCGTCCAATGTGTAGTTTTTGGTGCTATATCCCACTTAAAACAAAGTCCTGCTTTTGTTACGTACTGTTATCATCGTTTGTTAATTAGCGTAAAAAACCCTCCCACGTAATGATTTACATTTGCCGATTCGTCGTGCTCCACGTAGCAAACGTTTTTTTTCAGTGGTAAAACTGGATTTACGATCTCCCGCCCTGGGAAACCCCGCTCTATCGAAACTCAGAGTTTTCTAATCGATGTTATTTCAAACGGTAGAGTGGTATGTTAGTGTCATGTGCGAACGTGTGGACATGTATGAGATGATCGTTACTTATGTTAATGAGACAATTACGAATGGCGCATTAAATGACAAGTGGAAACTTACCGTTGTAGCTAGGACCACTGGATCTGTAACTGAAACCATCGTCGTCCTCCCAAGGCCGTGCATGATCAATATTTCGTGAAGGAGCTGTAACAAAAATGTTGAAATTATTCTATATTAGATGTAATATATACATATTTGCAGACGCTCGATTAATTTGTATTTAATAAAATCATGTATCTTTCTCAAAATATTAACAATTTCGATATATTAAATAAATTTAATCAAAACAAATTTTTAGTTGAAAAGTTTTTATATTAAAATAAATTTTATATTGAAAGAAAATTAATTATAACTTACATGCACCCACAGGACTCTCATAACGCAATCGATATGATGGTTCTCGAGCGGCAGATGGTGTCCTTGAAGCATTTCTAGGATCAACATTCGCAGCTCTGTGTCTTAAATTTTCTCGATCCTTTTCACGATCTTGCAGGAATACTTTAGCTATTCCCGTATCGATCTTGCTCAATTCGTCCTGCTCCTTTTTCAGTTTTTGCTCCGCCTCTTTGATGTATGTTGTCGTTTTGTTGTCCACTTCATCCTCGTCATCAGATGCAGGTACACCCTGAATTAGATACAAATATCGAACATTACATGATAACTAAGACACTAGCATTACACATCATTGAAGGAATAAATGGGATAAGATAATACCTTATATGTATCGGACCATCGTCGACGTCTTTCAGGATCAGTGTAAGGATACGGCGGAGCAGGAAAATCGTCTCTTTCGATTGGCGGTTGAGCACCTGGAGGTGGCTTCATAGCGTCAGGATAATGAGCTAATTCTATCGGTTCATCGTTATCCACCTGACTTGCTGGTGATTTAGGTCTAGTGTCACTCAATGCATCGACCAAGGCTCTCATTCCGGATCTACTGCTGCGTCCACCGCTACTTCTTATCGAACGGGACGCTATGTGAACAAAACAAATGTGTCGTACAAGCTACAAATAAATTACATAGAGAATATAAATAAATAGTCTAAAATACGCACGCGACGTTCTCATAAATTTTTAAATATAATATTAGAATAAAAAAAAGTTTTTTCTTAAATATTTTATTAAAAAAATATATTAATTTTTTTGCGATATTCACAACAAAATATTTTATAAATTTAATATAGAGATTCTTAGTGGATTATAATTTTTGTTGCTGATCTTCAAAGTGTTGAAAAAGAGACTGTTTAGATTCTAATAAAATGAATATAAATAAAAAAAACTTACAGCTAGGTCTATGAAAATGCGGGCTAGTTGGGGGTTTATCGTACGGCTGTATCGGGCGTCTCAGATATCCTTGACTGGGCGTTTCAGTCAAATATGAGTAAGTATAAATCCTAGATACATCTTCTACCGGTCGTCCGTATTCCCTCAAGATCAGACCCGGACTTCCAGTCCGCGCAGGATAATACTGAGGCAATTAATGAATTTATATCACGCATGTAGACTAATTTGTTTTTTGCGTATCTAAACGTTATATTAAATATACAAGGTGCATAAAAATCGTATAAACGAAAAATAAAATCTTCCTTTATCTTGCATTTTAAAGCTTTTTATTTTTTTGTCCTTTTAAAAAAATTAACATTATTCCGATTTTATTTGGATTTTTTATGCATCTTATATATAAAAGGAAAATATTGTGCAAGGCGAGTAATGCTCTGTCATTAACAAATTATATCAATCGTCTCTTTATTTATATTATATTTATGATTGGAAAACAGATAAAATTTATAATTAAGGTTATTGAAAAATAATCATGTAATTCGATTATAGAATTTCGCTAAATTTTACATCGCGTGTACCGTCGTCTTTCGTTCAACGGATCGATATAATTGAAATCGGATAGCGAGCGTTTAACAGAGCGAAAACACGCGATGCTAAGAAAAGGTAACGCGCGAGAAGTGATACCAGAAATACTTGTCTGAGAGAGTGCTGTGCTAAGTGACACATGGCATACCTTGCGACTGAGGCTGCTGTAAGGGCTGCACAGCGATCCGTTCAGGCTTGGCGTGCGTGACCGCAATGAAAACTATACACAATGACCGTGCGGAAAAAGTAAACAACAATTAAGAAAAGCGATAATAAAAAAACTTAATCAAAAAATTGAAAAATAATAATATAATCTCTCTGATGTGTGTATATATGTTTTCTCTTGTTTCCTACGTCGAGACGTGCGTGAAACGAAGAGCGGTAAAACGATGAGCCAGCCGATTTCGAGACAAAAAATCAAGCTATACACAAAGCTAACAAAATAATGAGAATATTTTTTTTTTAGATCTACGAAGTATTTTGCTCTATATATATTACTACTGATAATGATATACATATGCCAAGAGTGCCAAAGCGTTTCGTAGAAGAATTTCGAATGTGAAGTAACGTTATTCTAGAGAATGTTTCATCGTTGTCCATTAGCTTACGATATTACTTATTAAATATTTTTCAAAAATTGTAGGAAAATTTTTATTTTTTAATATAACGAAACATTTGGCTTCTTTTGTTATTGCTATTAACAAATTTGTGTATGCAGACAAATACAATATACAAATACAATGCGGTTAAATCGAGTAATGCAAGTGCTAGATATAAATAGCAGCATGCACACATTTCTTTATTTTCTAACATATAATACATAGATATATGATCTTTATCAATATTAAAAACGTTGATTGTAGCAACTATTTAATTGATATTAAACTTTCGATTTTAAAACAACTTTATCTTATGGATTTTAACATACATAAATAACTAACATTGTTATAACAATAAGTGCTAAATGAGTAACTAAAATTATATTTTTGATTGACAAATATAAATTCGTTCTTTGAATTGGAAGAAAATTAAACATTCGATCGTGAAATGTGATGCTATTTTTTATTTATTGTTTGAAATATATCAGTTTGCTTCAATCTAATGTATTTACATCACTGAATGTATATCGAAGAGTACGCGTATCATGAGTACTTAATATTATCTTTATTCAAACTATTTGTTATTTGATCTATGATATTTCTTCAAATACAGTTCACAGGCCGGTATTCATAATCCGTTTTTATATTTAAGACTATCTTAAATACAATCTTAAGATGTTACCAGATGGATTATAAACTAATCACACAAAGTTATATTAGCATCTTAAGACTTTACTTAAGGCGATCTTGAAATAAGAATACTGGCGCACTATGAATATTGGTCTTATTATTCGTAGAATATTTATCGTTTAAAGAAAATACAATTTCTTAAAAGCAGTCTATAAGCATGTATATACATATATTAAATGATATATGCATGTATATATAAATGTATATATGCATGTATATATAAATGTATATATGCATGTATATATGATATAAACATGTATATATAAATTAAATGATTGTTAGGCCGCAAATAATATTACACCGATTGTACTCTATGTTAGTTTATAAAATCGAAAGCTTGCTTGTTATACGAACAAAAACATTATATAGAATACAAATATCATGTGTAGCCTTTTATTCACAACAAGCTATAATAAAAGCGCACACGAAAATAAGACAAAATGCAATATTTTCAAAAATGTTAATCTAACAATCAACGAATCATATCCACACAATATTTTAATATATTAAAATGCTACAATATTGCTTCGTCAGTTCTTGTATAGTTAAATTATGAAAATATAAACAAACCTCTTTTTTAACAGCTTAAATCAATTATATACGAATGTACAGAATAAATATATGCCTGAACGGCGAATCTCACCGATTCGACTTACCTGCATCTCCGAAGCACTGCTGGAGATCCGTTCTGATTCCCGATGCTGTGGGGTATGTGCGTCGTGCCCGTTGACGATACCATTAGGTCCGGTGGTAGGTCCTGGACCACAGCGCGGGTGCCATATGGCAGCACCCTGCAGGTACATTTCCTCTCCATCACCGAACGGATCGCCACATTTCGTACAGCGCGCACAAGTCGGATGGAAATGATGGTTATCGCCGGCTTGTAAAACCTTGCCGCTGATGTAACGATTGCAGTAGGCGCACTTCACTCCAAACTGCTTTTGATAATCCTTCTCGCAGTAAGGCACCCCGTCTCTGTTGAAGAAGAAAATTTATGTAACGATTTATTTATTTTATATTTTCATTCTGACATCCGATTTGAAAAAAATCGAACAAATTTAAAGTTGAAACAGATGGAGAAATTTTTATAACGTTATTAATCAGGTATTAATTGTCTGACTTTTTAAAGATATATTAATATTATTTATTTTTTTAAAAACTTTATTTTTAAATTTCTCTAATTTTACGATTGCTTTGTAGAATTTTGAAGAAAATGCAATTAATATTATTAATATGCTTTTGAATGGTCAAGATACGAGATGATATATTTGTGAATCGCATAAGACTCACTTTCCCATGTATTCTCCATGAAGCACAGTGTTGCAGCTATGACACTTAAAGCACCAAACGTGCCATTGACGATCGAGCGCGACCAATGCCTGACCTTCCCTCAATTGGTTTCCGCAACCAGCGCAGGCACCAGGGTCAGCATGTCCGCCTTTAGTACTGGTGCTATTACCGAGCGGAGTGGAGGCCTCGCGAACTGGGATACCAACGCATCGGTGACACAACGCTTGACCTGGAACAATACACGATTCGAGATTAATGAGATCCGGCAATGGATTTCGTGGCGTCATCATTAACCTTCGCACTTTAGGTCTTCCATAACAAAATTTATCATCCAATTCTATATTTATTTCTACAATTCCTTCATTCAGACACAATTAATCTATATAACACAAGTTCAAATCTATTATGTTAGTTGCATATAAGACATTGGATTAATTATTGTTTAATTATTAACAATAATCAAACACATCAAGTGCTATATAAATACATGTTACAAAATAACACGTATTTTTAAAGACTGATTCATAAAAAGAGTAACATTTATTTCTGCTTTCAGTGAATCTTTCACAAATTGAATGAGAAAAGATTAAATTTATTTCTATTATTATTTTCTTGTTAAGATAAGAGTATTAAATGTAAGATTAACATAATTTATTTATAATGACCTCAATTTCTTCAGAAATGTGTGACACATTGAACCGTTACATTATATACACCATAAGTTGATGTACGTCACTAGGTTTTTATTTTTGACTACGTAATTGTTACAAGGACATAGTACAGATACATAGTCTTGTAACAGTGAAGCAACGATATACCAAAGTGGCAATTTACTCTAACAGATTGACTGCCATGCTAATTGTGAAATCTGCACTAAAGTGACACTGGCTATGTAATCTCAGTACGCATCGCTATTTACAATTAGGATAGAAATTGTCGACTATTTGAATTAGCGATTTCGCGCATGCTCATTTTGCATAGCGATGACTACATTATATTAAAAAGTGATACGCGTTAAATAAAGATATAAATCGAATACATTACTTTATAATGTATTAAACTAGCTTTAAATGAGTTAAGATTTTTTCTGAACACATACCTTGAACAAGAGATACTTTTGTTCCTTGTCCAAGTAGCGGTTGCCGGCATCTCTGGCAATGAAAACAATTCGGATGAAACGCGTGCTTGTCGCCGGCTGTCACTACGTCACCCTCCACGTATTCTCCGCAACCGGCACATCGTGTACCCCAGCGTTCCCGATAATCCTATAAACAAAAAGTAACAGACAAAAATAAATTATAAATATCAAACATTTTATTTCTCTTATTTTTTTCTACGGTAAAAAGCTTTCTCATTAAAAGTTGATATTATATGAGATAGATTATGTCGAATAAAAAAAATGCGCAACTCACCTTAGTGCAGTAATAGGCGCCCTCGCGCGTGAAAAATCCACCCAGTGCCAAACTAGCATTGCACTGAGCGCACTTGAAGCACCCTATATGAAAGTATTTGTCTTGCACGCGCAGCACCTCCCCGCTGCACTTCTTCTTGCAGGACTGGCAAAATGTTTTACCTGAAACAATAAATCTTTATTTAAGAGATGTACTTCCTTTGCATCATTAGTTTTCCATTTTATTCTTTCCATTTCGCATATAATCTAAATATAATAATAAATTGGAATAAATTTAGAGAGTATTATAATTAATTCCCATTAATTATAGCATTCTCGTACGTAACAAATTGCTATTGTTGTGATATAATTTGAACTAACAAGCTTATAGGAAACATTTATATGTTCAAAGATTGAGAAAAATGCATAAATTTTAACTTACAATTAGAATAATTTTATAGTTTATTTGTTTAATCTATTTTGATTCCTTTATCTTTATATATTATCCTTGTAAGTATATACTCTACTATCTTAAAATTTATATAAAATTTAATTTTAAACTAATAAGAAAGATCAGGAAATTAAAAATTGATAAAATAAAGTATTTATTAACAATGTGACTTTCCTGTGAAGTGGAAAATAAAAATAAAAGCAAAAAGAAACATTGTATGAGTCATGCACCTGCTCGCTCATGCGTATTGGATTATTTGAGATTTCTACGAGTGTTTACGCAACAATGGCGATTCGCATCTTCCACTTGCTCGTTGCACTCGCGTGGTCATCGGCGCTCGTTTAAGAGCACGTAACTTCCAACTTGTTATATAACGCACCTGTCGTCAGCTAAAAGGGTGCATTACAAAGCTCGTCTTCAGGAAAAAGACCAAACTGTGCGAGCTCGTGAAAGCTAATATAGCGTTTTCCATCGAGACGATCTGGATAAGTTCCAAAATAATCACATTCGACTTTCACGAACCGATATTTAGACTTTCAACAAATATATAGCTTTCACGAATATATATAGCTTCCAAATTGAAACAAAATCTACTGGCAAATTAAAGATAGAATTTATCTTTTTTTTTCTTTTAAATATACTTTTATTAAATATATAAATTTTTAAAAATCAGATAGGAATTTTAATCGATTATCTCATTATCTTTTTAAAGAATTGTTAAATTGAAAATGGTTCGTCGTCTTTTCTTCTTTTATGTAGCAATCAGCTAAAAGGATTTTGACATATCATTCGTTTGATGTGCGTCACTATATCTGAATTACATTCGTAACACATTGTATCTGATTTATACGTGTTGCGAATTAAAATTACGTCAAGCGAATACTAACACGAAACATAACTATAAACATGAAGACAACATTTTGACATAATAAGGGTATGAGTAATGTAGATACATTATTCATTGATCCAATTTCGAATAAAAGTCGGTACTTTACAGTTGTACATCCGCACTTGGCACGTCTCTTTCATTACACATTATAATTATATAATGAATAAAGAATATCTCGATACGACATGAGTAGCATAATTAATTCTCTTTCTCGATATATATTCTTCGTTGCGTTTCCCTGTCATCTTTCTTGTATCTGCATATCTATAAAATTACATCGCGAGGAAATAATTAAAAATAAAATAGCACGATCCTTGATGCAGATTATAATTGTAGGAAGCGGTAAAAAAATTCAAAATAAGTGCTTATCCTGCTTAGTCATTCAAATCGATGAGTCAGTCATCTCCTGTGACAAGACGCGATGAATGTGGCGCCTTTATTGAATTATCGGTTGTTTTGAACGGCAATCCGCGATAAATTATAGTATATCTATCCAGTGCAACACTGGATTGTGCATGAAATGTCAGGGGAGTTGGATTTCCTCGTGCAGTACAGTCAATATTTAGAGAGGCAGAACTAATAATCTTCCTCCATTTGCGCTCGTTGCACCGAATCCAGCTGTTCCGCCTAAAGACCGCGCTTGTTTTGAGGTAATGATGTGTGTATAGAAAAAAAGATACACGGGAAGCAGCGTTAAATTACGATTCGATCCCGTTGGTACGAAACAGAACTTTTTATTATGTAAATATAATGTGGCTTTCCGCAACGAACTAACCACCTGTTAATCACGAATACCTTATTTAATGATGTCGATCTATCTATCTGTTGAGAGTTTGATGGACAGCTATTTCCGAAGATAATTAACATGAACAGATTTCAATTCGAGAAAGCCTCGTATATATAAATAAAATATTATTTCTAAATTAATTCGAGTATGTTTAATAGAAAATATTTTAATAGAAATCTAAGTAAAGATCTAATTTGTAAAATAACTAAGAAATAAGATAAATATAACACTTTCTTCCAAATTTTCAATTCTCACTCTTGATATTTTTGCCACATGAAAGTTTTGTAAACTCTCTTGATACATTTGGCAAATGTAAAGTATTTTAAACATCCTGTGTAAATCACACACGGAATATACTTCAAACAAACGACTTTACTTCGCGGGAGATTGCTACCAAAAATTTCACGAATTCAATGAAACAAAAGCAAATGTCGGCGATATTTATAAATAACTTGAACAAAAACCGTGCATAAACTTTCAAAACGGGAAACCGGATCTCGCATATTTTTAAAAATACTCGTTGACATCATAGCCTCCTCGTATCTGACGTCATCGAGTCGTCATATGAGTTAAAGTCGACGAGCATGAAAAAATCCGCATGTAGGCAGACGGTGTTAAATGCATCCGCTTTGTTTCGACATATCTGAATGCTGAGAGGAATTTATTTCAGAAACAATTTGAAAAAGATTTTGAGAGAGATTGAAAAAGATATTTCTAAAATCCATGAGAATTTTTTTCAAATTTAAATTCTAGAATCCGAATATTTATGACAGGATTACATGTATAAATAGGATAAAAGTTACCGTCAAGTTTTCTGCAAAAATATTAAATTTTAAATACGTCCATTAAATCAAATCTGTGATAAAATATTCCGTGTAGAAGAAAAATAATGATTGTAATAAATAGAAAGTAACGAAAAAATTCAATACTTTAGCTAAAATTAAGCACATTGTATGTGTGTATGTATGTTATTTGTATAGTTAACTTTCAGTTTAAAATAATGCTGATGCTATACTTTCTCTGTTTAGTCAACAGGAAAAGTATGAAATAAAATACAAAATTACGACTTCAGCACTGTTACGATGCGAGCTCGCATTTAATCGAACGGGGGCACTCGTCCATAAAGTGACACACCCTCGTCTGCGCGTCACATCTCGTTTAATTTACGGCACGCTTCAACCGCAGCGAAAAATCTGTGGCCAGAAAAAATGTTAGTCGATAGGTCCAACAGACAAGCGGACGATAACAAAATTTATCACTCTCGTGATTCGCGCGCAAAGTGTCAACCGTCGTCATCGACGCGATAACAGTCATGCACAAAACGAGAAAAAAATAAAATAAAGTCACATTATTTAATCGAGTCTTTCCATGCAAGAATCTCATAGCAAATGAGAGAGAGAAAAAGAGAGAGAAAGAGGAAGAAGAAATAAATTAATAGAAATTTATATTTCGATTTTGATTGATCGAACTCTTGTTTCAAAAAAGCATTATATAATTTGATTAAAAATCAATTTGTAAAAAATAATGACAATGTAGATGTTTCAACCATGTTATTAATTACTAATTCAATATCGATATTCATCGTCGTGTCAAAAAGGTGCCACGTCATTTAAATGCATAAAAGATCAGTTCTTATCACATTTGCAAAGTGAGGTTGATAATTAAAAATTTATTCTCTGAACGCAAGGCTTAGTAATAAGTAATGTATAATAACTTTTTTAAATTTATATTTGCAATATGAAATATCTTAGAAATCAGTCTCGAGTTCTATTTTTGTAAAGATACAAAATATGCGCGAAATTAATTGAAGAATGACTCTGTCGTGACTGTTCTACATAGGTACCGCTATGGTATGTTAATATGATTCATAAGTGGTCTAAATAGGATGTGCCAAAGTGGGGTTAAACGCAGCGACCCTGGACTGCCCTGATCACTCTCGCGTTGCACTCTGGGTTATAAGATCGAATAATAATCGATCATGCAATAAATGTCTATCGATTATGCTAAATCGCCTTGCTCTTTTCTGCTATGGATCGAACGATTATTCTATGCACAATTCCATTCATATATGTAGTCTATATAAATCAAGAAAATACTTCTGTTCTTATTTGCGAGCTTATTCTTCTAATTCTTCTTTTATAAATTGTATGATTTCTATTAAAATACAAGATAATTATAAAATGTTAAAAAGTTAATAGAAGAAATTTAGAGTTGAAACTTTCTTAGAAAGAAATAAATAAATAAAAATTATTATTAAAAATCATGTAATTATTGTTAAACTATTTAATATTGGCGCCTGCATAACTGAACCATCTTGTCAACACTTGTATAAGTAATATAATTATACATATATTCTGGTTTATATTAATAATTCTGGTTTATAGATAATTATGAAACAATTGACTGAGAAATAACAAAATCATAATCGCTTATTTCATTAAAAATTCTTAAAGTTTGTTTATTAAGTCAATTCATTAAGGAAAATTTGGGTTTTACTCATCCTCAAGAGAATACAGCTGGTGATATGAATCATAAATTATATTTGGGAAATATCTGAGCTTCTTTCTGAAAATACGTATTTTTTTTTAGAAAAAGATTATAACTTGAATGATATTTTTGAATCACATCTGAAATAATTTATGCTTATATAATGTATTGTTGTAATGCATTTTTATATTTTGAAAATTATATAATTAAAATATAAAGCAATAAAATAACGTTTAACATCGAGAGATATCGTTGAGTACGTAACGATAATCTATATCTGCAAAAATTTGATGAGTCTTTATCAAGGACAACCGCGATATTTCAAAAGAACAGTTAAATTTTGCATGATTTTTCTTATAATAACTACATGTAATTTTATATTACATTACATTTTATACAATTTAAAGATAACGAAATAAAAGCTTGCATAGAATAATAGAACGTAAAATAATATAACAGGACACGTCTGTCCGCTTAAATTTCGCTGAAACTCGCATAAATGTGCAGTCAACAGAAGAACATCTGCAAAACTGCTGTCCTAAGCGAACATTTTAAAAGCTTATTTCTTTATTAAGATAATTTAAAGAATAGATTAATCATACATCCATTATAACTATCGAACTTGCCAAACACATTAATTTTCATGGAAGATTAATTACACAAAGTAATACTAATTTATAAATGCGCTCCTATTTTATTGTTTTACAGAAATACATTTTTCTAGACTTTTGTTCTACATTTTGTCTTTATTTTCTTATATTATTTTTTCTAATTCTAAAAAAGAATTAGAAAAAAATAATAAAAAAATTTAGGTAATAGTTTAAAAGTAATATTAAAATAATTTCCTAGTGTAATTATTTTATTTCAACAACAGTATTTGCAACAGAAACAAGAGGCTTTATCATATAAAAACTTTATCATATAAACTTGTGATCGAAGAATTATTCGCGAAGGAAATAACAAGTTTAATTATCATCCATACTTGAACTCATTCTAATTAATGAAAAACTATTGTTTCAATTGTGTGCTCCTGCGATAACAAACTGACGTAATGCGTAAGATTGCAATTATAAACTAAATATAATTCGCGTTATTTCATCTCTATATTATATTTGATAATTAATAAATTATAAAATTAATTATAATATACGCATCATGTTCCACGAAGTTAATAAAAATATATACCGACCATAAAACACTACAACAACTGCTTAACAGTAACTGCACGATAATTGTGGTTACATTTTGCGGTTTTTTTATCGCTGTGCACATAGTAACAAGTTTCCTTGACGTTATTTTCGTTTATGTAATATGTACACCGATCAATTCAATAAGACTTTACAAACAATACTATATATATCTATAAATAGAAACAAAGAGGTTTTTTATAAATATTGCAGTGCATAATCATTCAACGCAGTTCAAGGCTATAATACACATATTATCATTCATACAATTATCATTGCGTTACAATATCTTACAGAATTTAATCATATATAATGTGATACGCAGAAACACATTTTTTTCACACGTACTTATTGTATGACAATTGCCTGGCAACTATTAATAATGCATGGGGCGAATAATTAATATTCCACATGAACGAGAGGATAATTGTAAAGGTGAGAGAGAGTAATTATAAAAAATATGTATACTTTATTCACGCACAATGTTTGCATATATACGACTTTCAGCATCGATAACGCAAAGTAAAAAATTGCAATAATTGCATCCCGTGATGTAAAAAAATTCTTCGCACACGGGCTAATGTATTACATATCATTTGTTTGCTAACTCAGCTCCAATGTTATTTCAACGAGAAAAGACACTTTGCACCTTCAAACATCTTATTTAATACTGACAAATAATCATTGTTAGTTTTCTCTCGCGATGTATTAAATTTCGATTTAGAATCAACGTTTGACACTTTTAATTTGAAGGCGAATTATAGCGTGAATCGAAAAGCAAAGTAGTTTTCGTATTTCGACCTATACGCGGTATCGCTGACACGAGCGGAACACAATCGTTATCTTGTATACCGCAAAATATATTTTCCTCCTCGAAGTACAATACATATCGGAATGGTTAAAATGCCTTAGGCATGCGCGCCACGTCACGTTCCTCGGATTCGTCTTGTCACGAACAACGAAAATCGTGACGAAGATATTCATGGCTGAAAGGAATGAGCATCGTATAATATGCAAATATCCCCTTTTTCTCGAATATCGCAGCTCGCGTGGTGTTACACAAGGTACTTTCGCATGTTATTTAAGTCGAGTCGTGTGTCGCATCGAAACTTTAACCTAGTTGTAAACCAGCTGATAAGCGCGGATGATCAGTATGTCGTAAAATACTACTGCAATTTAGCATTATCGTGTAAGTTTTAATTCGTCGAGTCCTTCTTTTATCGAGACAAATTTTATTTTTACACGAGATATGATGTGGCTTCGACTCTGTAAATTCGAGAGATAGAAGTGGGATTTATGGATTTATTTTATTATTATTTGGCGCAATTAATCTTTATTGAAGTGAAAATTAATGTATCCAGCAAATCGATAGTTTTAACGATTAATGAATATTGATACGATGAACAAATATTTCGATATACGCTTTATTCGGCTTTATTATATCTTCGTGCGGATTTTACCAGCAAATTTTTCTTATCTATAATAATATCACCATTTATTTATCATCATCATTATGCAAACAAGCACAATGTGCTGGAAGTGATGGGGAACGAACACCAAATTGAAAGATAACGATATTGCAGGAGAAGTTAATATTGAAAAGCTGATGATTCATTTAAATATCTTTATAAAGTAATAACAATTTTATCGGAAATCTATCGCAGCGGATCTCAATCTATCCATCCGTAGAATTACAGACGGATGCTGAGCGACGTAAAATAAAGGATTATTCACATCATCGACCGTGGAATAAAAGCTCCGCTTCGAGGAAACAATTCGTCGATTTTTGCGGTTTTGCCCGTCCCGTCCGTTCCTTACCTTTTTTCAATTGCTTTTGCTTGTGCTCGTCGGCACCGTCTCTCCTGATCCCCGCTTTGCTTTCACTCGCTATGAGACTCTCGCTAGTCTTCGATTTCATTGTGCCTGCTGGCTGCGTTGCGTAACTTCAGGGTCACAAGCCGCCCGCCCGGCACGCACAACTCTTCTGCCTTTCTGCTTTCCCCGCGCGAGAGATACCGATAAGATAACAGCGAAGAATCGGTGCGCGCGATTTGCATCAAAAATTTCGATTCCGGATCTTAAAGTAACGCGGCGATCTGTCGTAGAATCGTGACATTCAAATGAGATCTGTCAGCGAGAGAATCAATCGACTTTTCTTGATAAATCTACGTATCTTGATAAATCAAATTGAAAAATTTTACTCAAAAAATTGTAGAAAAAAAATTTAGTCGCGAGTCTAATAAATTGAGATTATATCATATGTTTCCTGTTTTTTTAGTCAAATATATTTTATTCGCGACACTCTATACATGCCGTTATGAAACAAGTAAAGATTCTAGGTAATAACATCCTTGATAGATTAGAGAGATATCAATTTTGCCGAAGGCGATTATGTTGTTTGCCGAGCAGAGTGCATTGATGATAGCGTGATAAATTTTTGCAGAATATAGGAATCTCGATTTTACCCACTATACATTTTCACTCGGGTACATGTAAATATTTATATTTAATATATACGCGAAATTTTATACATCGCAGGAATTTTTTTTTATCCGAGTAATTATTCACTTTGATAAGCTAACCTGAATTTCGAAGCAGTTATTCCGAATGGTGCGAAAAATTGACGCGAAATGTCACGATACTGGGTACGACACGATCGTTGCGACTGCCGATCGACGACTGCCTGTGAAGTGGAGGAGATTCGTGCATCGAGTCCCGTGAGATTGTCACCCGTACAGTCGACGCAGATAACGTTTACTTTTCACGGTTGACTACGCCCTGCGAGAGCCTAATCTCGGATCGGCAGAAGTAACTTCGCGCTTTGTATTTTGCCGCAATTGTTCTCGTATTTTCCTCACCTTTTAGCAATCTGTTTGTATTGAACATACAAATCAATACAATATTTGCAAAAGAAATTGCCTAAAAATTAGAATCTTATAAATTGATAGAATAATTTATATAAACTCGTATTAAAAATGCAAACATAACGAATCTTCGAATTAAAATTTTAAGATATCAAAGAGAATATTTTCAAAGCTTGCAACAAAGCTCTACAAATCTCTTTAAAAAATTTTTTATATAGGTATAAATTAGATCTTTAAAATATAATTTTTATTTATGTAAAAAACATAAGATGCAGTAAGATTACTGATATTCATCAAATTGGATGACTAGAATTGGAGGATGATATTTGAATTTATAAATGGAAATTTGTTACATATATATATATCATATATATGGCTTTAATAATTATAATTCAGTTAGTTGAGAAGATGTCCGGCGTCTGTCATAATTTTATCATCATGTATGCACGCGGTGTCCTAATTCCGTCAGCTTAAACTGATTTTGCACATAACAAGATTACATGATTAATACCAGAATAATAAACGTTCTTGCATTATTCTTATTCATAATAAGAGATCGTCCTTTTATAAAAATATCTACAATAAATTTTGTAAGTCATTCAATTGTATCTCGAAAAAATAACGGAGCAAGGCAAATTATTCTCCAGACAAATTTTGATACAGAAATAAAATTAATTAAATTAAATGTTACTCATAACGTTATGATAGTGTTACTATTAAGTTTTTACGATTTTAAATTTTTTATTTCTTGTGTGAGAAAGAATAAAATTAATATAATTTTATCTTGCTAATCAATAAGCATTACTGCAGTATGCAACTTTAGAATTGCATTTTGTTCTCGGGAGCAAGTTCAAGGACCCTCCGGCATAGTCAATGCACGCTGCGCATCACCAATAAGCACTTGGAATATTGATCTAGGATACAGGAAACTAGGGTCTTTTCAACTGGATAATCCAATATTTCGAAGATGTATAATTGAATATTTTTTCAAGACTGATCTCTGTATTTTTATAGACTACTAATATATTTTAAAATAATACAGAACAATGTCATTTTGACTTAAAGATTTCAAGCATTTAATAACTTTTCAAATAATAATTAATCTCAAAATTGGTCATAAGATAATCGTACAGTACATTTTACAGAAAAATTCTCGATATAATTGTATAAAAAAATAATTATATATAATTACTCACACGAGCAGTTTGTTACAAGGATTATACAGGTTTCGTACCAATTCCAAACTATGTATTTTCGTGCTCGACCTTTCGTTGACCAATTAGGGACCTTCACCGCAGGATTCCCCCTCAAGAAACGCAACGTCCGTCGTGTACAGGGAATATAGAGATATCGATCAGCAACGGGCTTGTGCAGTTTCAGCGAAACGCGTTAATAACATTTTCCAGGATGGAAGACCCTCGCCCGTAAATGTGCCAAGCGAGGGAAACCGAGAAAAGGATCAATACCGCGATACGTCAATCGCTGCTCCGGGTTAACGCGCTTCGTTGTTAACTGATCTATTATGTAAACGTTTCCTCGTGCGTGAAATGGCCGCACGTTATACCGTCTCGCATATAAGGTCTTCGCGTTTGCATACGTTTACGTATGTGTGCATTGTAAGATCGACGTCCACGTAACACCGCAGATCGAGGTTACGACAGTGTCGTAACATGATCGATAAATGAATGTCGAAGACGCAAAAAAGGAATAATCAAATCCACGCACTGCAACATAATTAATTATTCAAATGTAACATTCCGGGTAAAATTGTTAATTATTCGAAAAATAAATTTATCCAAAGTGTGGCTTAGAAATTGCTGCTTAATCTCTTTTAATGTTCAGATAGATGCAAATTAATTAACTAATTAATGAGTACTATATATTAAGAGATAAAAACGTGACACAATTTATCTCGTATTTAATTTTTATAATTTAAATATCATTAATAAATATCATTAATTTTTATAATTTAAATGTTATGTTCTTAATCAAGAAGAATGATAAAATTCCAATATTTTAATAAAATCGTCCGAACTTTTTTTAAATATGCATGAAAAAAAAATGCTAGAAAATATTTTTTATCGACTAGAGAATTGGCTACCGTGCAATATAGTTTGGAATTGGCACAAAAGCTGTATAATTTTTGTACCAAATTGCTCGTATAAATCATGTATAATTACTTCTTTATTTTTGCTAATGCCACGTAATCATGTAATGCAATTATCATAAAGATAACTTTCCATTTAAGTCTTTTACAAACTAATTATCTCTCCGATGATATATATATATATATATATATATATATATATATATATATATATAGAAGCCATTGAATTGCTCTAAAATACCATGTGTATCGTGTAAGATAAATGACACAAGAGTGACAGTTGTGTAAGGAGCGTCACGCCTCACTAACTATGGATCCGGCACGAGCGTGGTGCATCGGTCGCGTGAGTGAGTAGGAGATGAAATTGCAACGAGCGAATTACGGGACCACTGGCGTCTCTTCCGACGTGGCACGTAGATCAACCTCGTCTCGTAATTGCGATCGCAAATAATTCATATAATTGTGCGAGCAATCGACGGATATGCGATTCGTTCACTCGCAAGAGAGAGTGGATACGTATCGTGATGCGTTATACGAATATTAAAAATCGAGAAACCATCAAAATTGTACAATAAAATAGAACGAGAAAATTTATGAGAAAATCCTCTTTTTTTTTTAAATAATTCGTAGTCGTCTTGAAAAAGAGAATACATTGCAGCTTGTACGGTAATATCTCGATAGTATCGATGTTTCTCGCGTTGATAAGAAAAATAGTAATACTTTCAAAATATTAAAGCGGTAATAAATTGCGGCGGTTCTCGAACGCGAAAGCATCTATACCATAAGCAATTCTATTCACAAATACTCGCTCGTGTCGGCATTCACAACGAAACGTCAAAAGCGCGTTTGCAAGTTATATTTCTATCATGACTTTGGGAATATGTGTCATGTACGTTATTTAGAGCACAAAACTGGACGATTAGATTTAAGAATCTTGAATCAGAGAAAAGCAAAATATATGTGTGTATTATCATCAAGTAATTATACAATATTATATATATTAATTAATATTTATAATATTTTATATGTAATTGTAATATTAATATTATATAAATGTAAATAAATAAATATTTATATAATATATTAATATTACAATTACATATAAAATACTATATTATAAATAATATTAATTAATAAATAATATTATATGTGTATATTTACACGATGAGATGGTACATATATATATATTTGTATGATGATAATATATGTTAAATGCTGTATTAATATTTGTAATTGTATCTTATATTTATCTAACTCACAATTCTCTTTATCTCGTCTTTTCTTCGATTCAATATATATCGTCTTACAGTAAACATTCCTTGTTAAAGATGATATGGATTATATTTCTGATCTACATTGCTATGCTCTAAATAGCAATCTAAAATTAAATATGATTTTCTCTAGTATAGAGAAATAAAAATAGAATATAATCAAGAAAGGAAACTTAAAATGATTGAACAAGATGATGAATGATCGAATAATGCCAGATTCTTCATAGAAATCTGATTACATCGAGAATGCAACGCGACATAAATCAATAGAAAAAGAAAGAAGAAAAAGGTCGTTTTCCTCGCGCGTAAGATCAGAAATAGGGAACGAGCGAGGGGGAGAGACTCGTCCTTAAATAAAAAAAAAGAAGAAGAGTAGAAAAGCGGCTACAGGACCCAACGATGCGAAATTCTTCGGACAAGCGGGTCGCATAAAATGTGATATGCAAAAGGAGAAAAGGAGGACGAAGGCAAATAGAAAGAGCACAGGAAGAGGAGGGGACAAGGGGGATCCTCACGCATCACGCGTATACGCGCGGGGAAGGGGGAGGGGGAGGGTAGGCGTTCGCCCTAGAAAACGTCAAACCGACGGATTCACCTATTTATAGACCACCGAGTAAGTTCGCGGTACGAGCCTTTCGGAAAACATTAGCCGCTCTCGGATGAGCGCGAGCTCGTGAAAATCAGACGGAAACTGCACGACGCAGGGGCGTACCCCCCTTCCTATGCACGCGAACGAGCAAACGGACGGACGAACGGACGGACGGATGGACGCCGCATTCCTTCCTACTCTCTCGTCCTCTTCCTCTCGCCTAGCCTCCTAGTCGTAAGTCGCCAAGTCCGTCGACGCGAGAGACAAAGGAGGCGAGATAGAGAGAGAGAGAGAGAGAAGAGAGAAGCAAAGATCGAGCGAAAGAGATGCGAGAGCCGGCGTTCCCTGACCGCTTTCCGCTGATACTTTTTTTACTCACCCATCTTCGGGAGTGGCACGAGCTGCGGCGAAACGGCGGCGGATCCACGTCACGTGTAGCTCACACGGTCATAGCACAGCACTGGATGACGGTGGCGGGCGCGCGCGACGCGCGTTTCACTTAGAAAATCGCGGAAAACGCGAGCGACGTTCCTGACACAGTGCACTCCACGGCCGCCATTGTGGTGTCGCGCCGAACCGTGCAGAACTATGCGGAGTGCGGCGGCGCGCGGCTTGCGCATGCGCGGGCCGCGCGCCGCATCGCTGACGCAAAATTCGAACCGTCGCGCTCGCGCGACTCGCTGCCCGCTTCATTC